AGATGACTCAGCCGCGAGAGACGACTCAGCCCCGAGAGATGACTCATCCGCGAGAGATGACTCAGCCGCGAGAGATGACTCAGCCGCGAGAGATGACTCATCCGCAAGAGATGACTCATCCGCATACTAAAGTTGTACTAGAAAGTCGCCAGTTCTCATCTTCCAGCTCCCCAGATACTCCGCGCCAGTTCTCAGCTTCCAGCTCCACAGATTGCTACGCGTACTAAAGTTGTACTAGAAAGTCGCCAGTTCTCAGCTTCGAGCTCTACAGATTGCTCCGCGTACTTGTACTAGAAAGTCGCCAGTTCTCATCTTCCAGCTCCACAGATTGCTCCGCGTACTAAAGTTGTACTAGAAAGTCGCCAGCTCTCATCTTCCAGCTCCGCAGATACTCCCCGTACTAAAGTTGTACTACAAAGTCGCCAGTTCTCAGCTTCCAGCTCCACAGATGCCAGTTCTCATCTTCCACCCAGATACTCCGCGTACTAAAGTTGTACTAGAAAGTCGCCAGTTCTCAGCCTCCAGCTCCCCAGATACTCCGCGTACTAAAGTTGTACTACAAAGTCGCCAGTTCTCAGGTTCCAACTTCACAGGTTACTCCGCGTACTACAGTTGTACTACAAAGTCGCCAGTTCTCAGCTTCCAGCTCCCCAGATACTCCGCGTACTACAAAATCGCCAGTTCTCAGCTTCCACCTCGACAGGTTACTCCGCGTACTACAGTTGTACTAGAAAGTCGCCAGTTCTCAGCTTCGAGCTCTACAGATTGCTCCGCGTACTTGTACTAGAAAGTCGCCAGTTCGCATCTTCCAGCTCCACAGATTGCACCGCGTACTAAAGTTGTACTACAAAGTCGCCAGTTCTCATCTTCCAGCTCCACAGACCGCTGCGCGTACTAAACTTGTACTGCCGCCAGTTCTCAGCTTCCAGCTCCCCAGATGCTGTGCCTGCCACGAAATCTGCGCCTCGAGGTTCACAAAGTGCTGTGACTGCCACGAAATCTGCGCATGGAGGTTCACAAAGTGCTGGGCCTGCCACGAAATCTGCGCGTGGAGGTTCACAAAGTGCTGCGCCTGCTACGAAATCTGCGCATGGAGGTTCACAAAGTGCTGGCGCATGGAGGTTCACAAAGTGCTGCGCCTGCCACGAAATCTGCGCATGGAGGTCGCAAAGTGCTGCACCTGCCACGAAATCTGCGCATGGAGGTTCACAAAG